TTCAGCATGGCTTAGGGAGTGTACTCTCAATGTTATGAAATCTAAAAACTGTATAGCAGGCAGGATGATGTCTTTCAGCCTACTTCTGGTATGATTAAAGAGAGAAAATTGTTGTGTCCCAGAACCAGTTAAAAAAAATTAGGTGTTTCAGGTATTTATGGAAATTATCCAAACTTTAGTTCAAAGCAGTTCATAAGCTGAATATTATAAAAATAACAACTATTATTGTAGTATAAGAGACCTATTTACACTGAGCTTTTACATACATTACCTGAAATAATCCTCTGAGTTGCATTCCTCAGAAGAAGCAAGTGAGAGTGGAGAACTTAAACACACACACACACACACACACACACACACACACACACACACACACACACACAAAGTGCAGAGCCTTCAGCATCTCATTGTAGAGGAGCTGTGTCCTCTGCAGGTCACAGAAGCAGCCTTTTCAAGGTCTTGGAGTCTGGCAGCAGGTCTCGCATACCACAGCCACAAAAGGGTATACCTGCCTCCTGCCATGCCACCCTCACAGCCAGCACCTCACCTCTGTCTCCAGGGTCACATACAGCAAGAACATGCCAAGGTACAGCAGAACATGGGACCCAGGGTAGGCATCTCCGCCCCTGCCCTCATGGACTTGGTTCAGCTGGTAATTTGGGACAAATTTGTGAGGCATAACCCCTCCCAGGTAGCAGGGCAGGGCCTGTGTTGGTAGAAGTGACAGATGTCAGTCTTGAAGTAAACCTGGTTTCTGGGGGGTGACTAACACCAGGGGCAGCCTCTCTGAGCACAGACCCAGACACTGAAGGAAAGGAGTGAAGTCCCATGAACCTGGTGGTATGTTTGCATCCAGAAGCCACTTAGAAATTCCTCTGTATAGCCCCTCATTGTACAGAGGAGCCAAGGCTCAGAGGATTGAGTGGGGGGAAGCCTTAGGCCCCACCAGCTCAAAACCCAGCCCTGATTCCTGAACCCTCCCTCAGCAGCAGAGGATGACCAAGGCTGCCAGGGATGGCAGCTGCCACCTCCACTCTCCCAACAGACCCAAGGCCTTGGATCCAACTCAATATATTTTGTAAAGAAGATAACACTCCTGACCCAGCCATATGGCTCTTGTGGCCCCTGACCTCTCCCCAGACTGGTGGGCATGGACACAGCAGCCCACTTACCACTTTGTGCTTGCAGACCTGTTTCCCAGTTGTGGTGGGAACAAGGAACCCACAATGATAGGAGACACCACGTCACCATGACAACCCTGGCTGTACCAGGGAGCAGGGGTGGAGGACAGCCAAGATGTTCCCAAACAGAAAATCGTTTGAAAGTTGATAAAACAAGCCCTCACAGGCCCTCTGCTCTGCCTGTGCCTGGCAGCCTGACAGCAAGTGACCATGATGTCACTGTCCCCCCACCATCTGCTGGATAACAGGCCTTGAGGGAGGACTCCTGCCCAGGCCCTGGGAATGTACACGGGCAAACGCCTATCAACCTGGTGCTGCAGCCACAACACCCAGAGCCCAGAAACTGTGGCAACCCCAACAGTGAACACAGATGGGAGACTCCCACCTCCCTTTACTCCAGTTTTTTCAGAGAACAGCAAGGGGTCACTACAGGAAGCAGTGGCCACTACAGGAAGCAGGATGTATATACCATAGAGTAAGAGGCGGACCAGTGGACCATCAACTCTCTCTTAGCTCCTAGGTGAAAACCACTTGCCTCATAGGTGACAAAGTCATCAAACTCGTCAGGGCAGGACAGGGGCTCCTCGTCCAGGGCAGGTGCCGTGCCACCGCCACCATACAGTTGGCCATCAGGACCTGTGGGGAGAAGACCCAGTGCTCAGCAGGCAACCCAGAGCAGTTCAGGAAGAGCATGACTGATGACCTCCAAGAGCTGAGGCATGGGAGCTGAGGGCCCCAGGGTTACCAGGAGGCAGCGATTGTGAGGAAGCAAGGGGAAAGAAGACAGCATGGTCAGACCAGCTAGAGCCACATTCCCAAGGAGAACAATGTCTCCTGCCAGAAATCCGAGGAGGTGGTGTAGAGGTAGAATGATAAAATGTTTACTTCTTAAAAGAACCTGGCAGTGTTGTAAAGGAGAAAGAGCAAGATGCTAAGCTCTGTAAAACTGTTTACAGCCTTTAAAAAGTGTTAGGTGGGCCAGGCTCGGTGGCTCAGCCTGTAATCCCAGCACTTTGAAGGGCCGAGGCAAGTGGATGGCCTGAGCCCACAGGTTCGAGACCAGCCCGGGCAACTTGGTGAGACTTCGTCTCTACAATAAATCCAAAAAAATTAGCCAGGCATGGTAGTGCATGTCTGTAGTTCTGGCTAGGAAGGTTGAGGTGGAAGGATCACCGGAACCCAGCAGGTTGACGCTGGAGTGGCAGTGAGTGTGTCACTGCACTCCAGCCTGGGCGACCGAGTGAGACTCCAACTCAACTCAACTCAACTCAACTCAACACAACACAACACAACACAAAACAAAACAAAACAAAAAGTGCTAGGTGCCAAACAGACTTAATTTTTAGAAAACATTTTCTTTTTTTTTTTTAATTGGAGTCTCATTCTGTTACCCAGGCTGGAGTGCAGTGGTACATTCATAGCCACTGCAGCTTCAACCTCCTGGGCTCAACCTCAGCCTCTCAAGTAGTTGGGATTACAGGCATGTGCCACCATGCCTGGTTTTTTTGTTTTGTTATGTTTTATTTTTTGGTAGACATGAGGTCTCACTATATTGCCAAGGCTGGTCTTAAACTCCTGGGTTCAAGCAATCCTCCTGCCTCTGGCTTCCAAAGTGCTGGGACTACAGGCGTTGAGTCATCATACCCAGCCACAATATAACAGTTCCTTATAACACATCAGCAGTCACTCATTTAATATCTCTAACATAATCTAATCTAACATCAGCTACTTAAGAGTGGTGCCAAGGCTTCTGAGAGCCAAATGGAAGCGTAACCCTCCCTAGACAATCAGGGAAAAGCACTTAGAAAGGTCAGGACCAGCTTTCTCCAGCTGGGCCAGTATGGCCCAGAGCACATCTGGACTCCTGTAGGGAAAACACTGCCTTCTGTGGCCAAGTCCTGCAGTCAGGTTTAGAAGCATCAGTTCCTAGGTAACCAGGGAAGAGAGAGTGAGTGCTGGAGGAGCCCTCCCTACAGGACAGAGCCAGACATGTTGCTGCTCCATGCTGTTTCTAAAGATTTCTCTCCATTTAAATGGAATAGCAACCTTCCCTGATGGTGGTGTGAATCAGACATTTATGCATTTTATAATTATGATACCTCTGCCAGCGCACTATCGCTTTGCAGTCATGGTTAAGACAATTATACCAAAAACCTCTTTGTGGCCTTTAGGAATTATGGTACTTTTGCTGCTGTTTGTGGAGTTTCCCCAGAAGTGTGGCTGAGCGTCTGAGTGGCCTGGACTGTGGCCAGGAGTAAAGCAGCCTCCAAACGTGGCCTTGTTGAGTTCCTCAGGAGGATCTGGCACTGTTACTACCAAGCCACAGGCCAGACCCTCTGCATGAGCAATGTGGGTCTTGGGTTGGAGAACTGCAGGAGAACTACATGGGGCTTCTGATGTAGAAGGGGTAAAGGGCTACTATGGACAGAACTTTGTGGTTTCTGGAGCACAGAAGTGTAGGAGGACCAATTATCCCAGTGCAGTTTGATACAGAACACACATTTTATTTATAATAAAAAAAAAAAGGCTAGACAGTCTCTAGCTGTTTTCCACTACCAAATATTAACAGTCTTGAACTGGGCATGGTGGAACCTGTAATCCCAGCTACTCTGGAGGCTGAGGATCACTTGAACCCAGAAGTTCAAGGTTGCAGCGAGCTATGACTCTTTCTGTGAATAGGCAACATAGTAAGACCCATTCTCTAAAAATAAAAAGTAAAATTTTAAAAATGCAAACAATCATGCTTGTACTTCCCAAAACTGAGACACACAGAACTGAAAACTTTCCTGCCGGGCGCAGTAGCCCAAACCTGTAATCCCAGAACTTTGGGAGGCCAAAGTGAGGGGACTGCCTAAGCTCAGGGGTTCGAGACCAGCCTGGGAAGCCTGGTGAGACCTCATCTCTACAATAAATCAAAAAATAAGCCAGGAATGGCAGCACGCACCTATAGGTCCAGCTACTTGGAAGGCTCAGGCGGAAGGATCACCTGAGCACAGCAGGTCAAGGCTACAGTGGCCGTGAGCGTGCCACTGCACTCCAGCCTGGGTGACAGAGTGAGACCCTGACTCAAAAAAAAGTTCCCAACAGAGTCAAGTTTTCCAGACTTGGAGAGTGGAGGAGTGCTCAGATTCTGACAGTAGGCAAACAATCTAAGGGTTCTGTCCCTCATGGTGGAGGGAGAGGTGAACACAGCTGGTGTTTTAAATTTATTTTTATTTATTTATTTTTTTTGGAATTGGGGTCTCACTCTCTCACCCAGGCTGTAGTAGAGTGGCACAACCACAGCTCAACACATCCTTGACCACCCGGGCTTAGGTGATCTTTCTGCCTCAGCCTCCTGAGAAGCTAGGACTACAGGCACACGCCCCCACACCTGGCTAATTTTTAATTTTTTGTAGAGACAAAGTCTCAATATGTTGCCTACACTGGTCTTGAACTCCTAGGCTCAAGCACCTCTCTTCTTGGCTTCCCAAAGTGCTGAGATTACAGGCATGAGCCACCACACCCAGCCTTTGATATTCTTGATGGAAATTAAAAATGATTCTTATATCAGTTTACTCTAGAAAAACTAAAACAATTTTCAATTAAGTGGAAAATTTTAATGTGCATTTATCTGATTATTCCAGAACCTAGGGATGGGGTTAGAGGGGCGTGAGCCAGAGCAATGGCCTATTTGTAACAATTCCCTCTCTATCTCTTTCTATTCCTGAAATAGGGCCTGTGGCTATGACAGTAAAAATCTCCTTGTGCTTCCCTGCAAACTAGGTCAACATATTATGTCATTGGCTATGCTGCTTCTCAATGCAGAATGAGTCTGACAGACCAGATAGGCCGTTCGCAGCAATACTGGGTAAACTCTAAAGTGTACTTCAGTTGAAACATAGTTTGCATAATCACGTTTTCCTTTCTTCTAAATGCTATAATTTCAAAATCATTTTTATTTGCTTTTATTCTATTTTCATTCTCCTTTCCTAAAGTGATATAAATGCCAAAGCCAAGTTGCAAAAAAGCAAGGCAAAGTCCGTAGTCCTTGGCCCCGGCGGCAGCATGTCCAACGCCAAGGCAGGGTGAACCCACCTGGGCCCCACCAGTATTTCCTCTCCCGAAATCTGTCTGGTTCTTGTAGCTCCCTTGGAGTCCTGTCCCCTCACATCAACTCTAATAGGTGGTCCCCCCCCTCTAGGACTGGGGGGTCACTCCCTGATGGGCCTCTCTGGGCACCTGGGGCTGGGGCTGGAAAATGAGGCTTCCCCTTGCAGGGAAGGCAACATTCCTCTATGGCAACCAGAGCCTGGCCACGCCTCCCCTGCCCTTATCTCTCACTTCTGACCCTGGCCTTCCTGTGGCCCCCAAATGGGCAGGTGCAGCCCCACCAGGACACTGCCACTCTACCCCAGACCTTCTCTGGGAGGCCTCCCTGCCCTCCCCTGTTTCACCTCACCCAGCTCCTACTATATTTGCTCTGGTCTTCCACCCATTAGAAAGCCAGCTCCCGAGGGCAAGGGTTCGGCACTTCCCTTCTGTGCTGTCCTGGAACCTAGAACAGTACAGCTCCACAGTGCTCAAGGGCACCACTGTTCCATGTGTCCAATCCACAGTCCTTACAGGCCGCAGCTATATTTTGTCTCAGCTGCAGCCAGCTCCATCCAGCCTGACTCAAGTTCTTTTTTTTTTTCTTTTTTTCCGAGTTGGAGTCTCACTCTGTCGCCCAGACTGGAGTGCAGTGGCACACTCCCAGCCATCGCAGCCTCAACCAGCTGGGCTCTGGCGATCCTTCTGCCTCAGCCTTCCAAGTAGCTGTAACTACAGGCGCGCACTACCACGCCCAGCTAATTTTTGATTTATTGTAGAGATGAGGTCTCACCAAGATGCCCAGGCGGGTCTGGAACCCGCGGGCTCAGGCAATCCACTCACCTCGGCCTCCCAAAGCGCAGGATTACAGGCTGAGCCACTGAGCCCAGCCCTGACTCAAGTTCTTATCACATAGCCTCTCCACAGCCCATGTACACAGGACCTTAACAAGAGGCCTGCCCCACCTAATGGGTCATCTAATCCTGGTCCCCCGGCCTCCCTCTCCAAGGCCCCCACCTTTCTCCATTCCTTTATCCACACACCCCACTATCAGCCTGTCCTCCAGGGCTCAGGGGTCTACTCTGCACAGGCTGAATTCAGGGAGGGGGGACGCCTCTTGCAATGCACTCCTCAACAAGGTATTAGGTTGAGATCAAGCCTTGTCTCCTTGAGATGCTTCTATTCCAAAATGTTCTTGCCACTGAAGAAACCAGCACCACATCCTGAAGCATCCATGTTAACTCTGGGACTGGCCAAAATGGAAACAATATCCAAAACTGCAAAGATGAGATCTAAAACAACCCCTGTGGGAGTAAGCACATTGAGAAGTCCTGAGATGGGAGCACAGATAGAGACAGGGATTCTGTCCAGGGTCGTGACTCAAAGGCTCCAGCAACATAGATTGCTCCCAATTCTGTCTTGGAAGACGTTCCAGATTCCTCCTGGAAGATGTTCCAGACTCCTGCTGAGAATGCTCCAGATTCCTGCTGGAAAACATTCCCAAATCTGTCCTGAAAGATCCTTCCAATTCTTCCTGGAAGATGCTCCCGATTCTGTCCTAAACT